TTCCCCTCCACACTTTTCACCCCACTCCACTATCAATTAGCCAATGCCAGGAAAGATGTCTCTGAACATATTAAGATGCCTTTGGAAATACCTAAAGAAAAGTACCCTGAAGGTGGTGGACTCTCTCAAGAGGTATTGCTTGTTCTTGCCTGCTAGGTCTGTGCTCCATGTAGGGCACAGGATTGGAAAAGCCCATCAGAGCCATAAGGTCTAATGCCTTGCTACTGCAGTCATCATGGCATGGCATCTCTTACATCAGGGTATTTACTAAAAGCAGCGATGTCTCCTTTAGCCTCTGTTTTGGCAGGATAAACAAACTCAACACTTCCAGTCTCCTCTCATAAGCCAGATCTCCAAGGACATCCCAGTGACCCTACTCTGCACATCTCCTGCTTTGTAGACATCTTTGTCCCAGACAGGTGTCAAGTGTCCCACTCATCTGGCCCCCACATGCAGTGTCATGGTCTATCCCACGGGTTTGTGGTTGTCCAGGTCTCAGCCCCATCTCTCTTGCCCACTTCTGCTTGTATGTGGGTGTGCTGGGGACACATGGCCAAGCAGCATTCCCTTCTTGCATGGGGCATATCTAATGCCCAAGGAGACCCACACAAGGAGGTATGTTACAATCTGTATGGGAAACCTCAGAGATATATGAACTCCTTAGAGCACGCAAGGTCTAGTTTTCTCTGGACAAGACAGAGAGGGTGGCGAAGGAGGTGCTGAATTACTACCAGGTGTCTCTAGTGAAGGAAAACCTTTGTCAGAGCACAAGGCTTATGGTATAATTCCTCCTCTTCCGCAATATACTGTGGTTCCTAACATCTCCTGTCCTCCAGTCGATAGAGGACTGAGAAGATAAAAGTAAAATTATTTTCGTGGGAGACTAAAAGCAATGTGGCCCAGTCTTGTGGCACTTTAAGATTCTTCTTTAAGTTCAACTTAGCCTTAGAGCCATTTAGCAAACTGACGCTTTTCATTTCTAAAACAGTTTTTTAGCATTTGTATTTCTGGATATGTGGATGGAGATGCTTACACTGCAGTTCTGAAAGCTAGAAATCACAAGGCAAGTAAAAGCAACAAATGGATCAAAATCTAAGCAGCTTATTTTTAGCATAAAATAGAGATAGTATTTTTAGACTCAGCTGCTTCTTAAAGCTTAGAGGTTTACCCACACTGAGTAAAACTTAAACCATGAAGATTTTAGTGGGAATAGGTCAAATAGATTTTCAGTTTTGGGTTAGCATTTCATTCAGTCTCATCATTGCTACAGAGGGACTTGTAATGGAAAAATATCCAAATAACCAAAATATAAACCAAACTGCCTCCAGAGAAAAGGGGCCTTGACTCAGGAGAGCACTTGCGTTTGCTTTCCACCTCCCCAGCCTTGCACCTCTCTCCCTGCAGTCAGCAGGAAACAGGTAATGGTGTTGCATGCCTGGATTTCACTCTATGGTGGACAGTAACAAATCCTGCAGCCTCTAAAACACATTCATAAATATGGTTTTGGTGTTACATTGAAGATTAGAAGAGAAAAAACAAAGGTGGAAGTCAGGCTTCACTTTTGTAGTTGGGTGCTGGAACAGGCTCCCCAGGGAAATGGTCACAGCACCAAGCCTGATAGAGTTCAAGAATAGTTTGGATGATAGTCTCAGGCACATGGTGCGACTCTTGGGAATGGTCTATGCAGGGCTAAGAGTTGGATTCAATGATCCTTGTGGGTCCTTTCCAACTCAGCATATTCTGTGATTCTGTGATTCATTTGAACAAATTACAGGAGAGGGGTGTACCCACCACAGTGACCCCGACAGCTCTCTCTTCTATTCACTGTCAACAGGTGATGCCCACAGCGACTCCTCTCTCTTGCTAGGGGTAATGGATGTGAAGAACAAGGGTCTGGGGTGGCTATCAAGGTTATGCAATTCATTTATCTGCTAAAGAACCAGAAAAACTTCTCTGAGAGTCCATAAAACCTATTTTCATTAAAGCTGAGACTTGCAGAAGTAGCTCCCTGAGTAGCAGGATGGCATTGAACAGTCTCATCCCTGTGTATTATTCAGTGCCCAGTATGAACTGAATTCACCTCTTGTAGAAACTTAGTATCTTGAAACTTCTGCCTGTTTCTCCAATTTGGCTGAAATCAGCCAATGCTTTCCACAGTGTAGGGTGTGGGAGATAGGTAGGACGAGACAGCATGATCACATATGTCTTGCATTCCTCAAACGACAGCCAAGGGGGAGAGGCAGCTCAGAGAGCTGGTAGGGGTGTATAACCAGATTAGATAACTGACTTCCCGCTGTTGAGAGAGGGAGAGACAATGCTGCTTTCAGCAATACTGCTCTACTACAAATAAATGATGTCATGACTTCAAAAAAATAGCACCTACTATCCTGCTCTGCTTCCCCCAAAGATTGCTAAAATGGCTTGCTAGGAAAGAATTAAGATGAAATGGAGATGTATATGAAAGAGGAGGAGAAAAAGTCTAAACCAAGTACAGAGTATCCTGGAAGAATGGCAAAAGAATTAGCAGGGTCAGAAAAAATAGGGCAGTTGCTTTTTCCCAATGTGGTTTTTCAAGACTATTTAACATTTGGATATTTCCTTTCTTTGCTTTCTGCCATTCAAACTTCTTTATTATTTAGCTTTTCAGATCAAAGGGGTTTTTTTTCCCTATAAAATATATAAAAAAAAAAATACCCAAGGCAAACTGTATTTCTGGCTCAGTCAATAATGTGTGGTTATCTGAAACAGGATCAAATGGAAAACTGAAAAACTAAATGAAGTTACTGAGCAGACCAAATGATTCAGGAGGTGCCTGAGAGTCAAATCTTGATCTGATGCAGAGTTTTTTCAGAACTGAAGAGCAAGGTTAGGGTTTGTGCATCATGGCACTGTCTGTGTGCCATTCATAGGGGAGTTATAGTAGGGAAGCCTGGTGACTGGGAACTCAAAAAGAAAGGTGTGGACCAGGTTGGTAAACACACAGATATTCCCTGCCTTTTTTTTTTTTTTCTCCCATAAGAAGACTGTGGAAGAATATTAATTTTTCAGGTAAAGAGGATCAGCATTCAGCCTCAGGGAACCTGTTTTCACAAGAGTTAAGGTTCCTGGACTGTGCTTGAGGAAGAGAGTGAAGAAGTTAGGAAGGCTTCAGATAATCATGGTAGGAGCAATGAATGAAAATTAAATATCAAAAAATACTGAGCAAGGATGAATGGACAAAATCAGAAGGGGACAGAAAGCCCAAACTTGAAGAAAGCAGTGACCCTTTCTTGGCCTCAATGATAAGCAGAGAGGCCTGAGGTCAGATTCAAGGACTGCCCATTACAATGCAGCTTCTGTGCTTCCCTTGACAGACAGTGATCCAGCTGGGAAAAGTGGTCGTCCTTTCTGCTTTTGAGGTCTGGAGGAGTCAAGAGCAGTTCCCTGCCCACTAAGTGGAGGCTGAGCTGCCTGATCTGAGGGGCAGGGAGGGGACAAGGGGAAACAGCCAGCATCCTTGTTCTCAGTTCCTCAGCTGTCACTCGCTACCCACTGCAGGCTTCATTCCCTTGGGCAGAGCTGCAGTCACTGTGTTGGGTATTTAAAGAAAGCTGCAGGGGGCCTGGCCATGGTTCTCACCAGCAGAATCACACCAGCCTTATGGGGTTTTGTTGGAGCAAATTGTTGCCTCCTCTAAAACATGGATATTCTGCCTATGCGTAGGATTTCAAGACGTAGACAGGAAAGTCTCCCTGAAAGAGTCCTTGGGGAAGTGCAATAAGCTGCCTTGTGACAATGAAAAGGGTCACAACTGGGTTTAGCCCATCAGCGATCAAGAGTCCCCTTCTATCCTGCACTCATCCACCATTTGAAGAGAGTTCTTTTACAAGGACCTCAAGTGCAATAACATTTGAGGAGAAGGACTATGAGGCAAAAGGAAGAGACTGGAGGTTTTGGAAAGAATTAAAAGGTCATTTTGCAGAGTATCAGGTCCACCTTTGAAGCTAATTGTGCTTTGAATGATGGAGAGGGTTGGATCAGAGGCTTGAAGGGCAAACTTAAATTATTTGATTTTATGCTTTTAAGTGAGAAGCATGATATTTTTATTTTTTATTTTTCCTATTGTCTTCAGGTAGTTGCTAAGGCAGCCAGCAATATAAAGACTTCGATAAGGAAGTGCAAGAAAGAATTATTCTTGCTAATACCACCGAGTACTGACAAGTGTGATATCAATAAAAAAAGAAAAATTAAGTATTTGAAGTATCATAGTTGCAAAAAATGACTTTCTAACTTTTCTGTCCCAGACACAATTTGATTAGAACATATGTGCTTATGAACAGTTTAGAGGCAACTGGACAGGACACCTTTGACAAGAGAATAAACACCTATACAAGGGCAATGAGTCCTGAGAATGTCTTTGAAACCACTGCATTAATAATCTGTACACACCTGATACCGAATCAACAGCTTTATAAAAACAAAAAATATCAGGTCATTCAAACAACATTCACCAGCTTTCTTTATCCATCCTAGCAGTTTTATAGCCCCAATTAGTATAAAACAAGCATATGATTCCTTCAGGATCACCATCTCATCCCTACATCTCTCTCTTCTTACTCCTGCTCTCAAGTTGGGTGCCGACAGATGATTATTAGTAATAATTTCTACTTTGGCAACAGCATGTACTGTGGCATACCAGCTTTGCACCTTTTCAGGCAAATATATATGGAGCTATGAGGTAGTCTTCCAACGGAAAAAAATTATAATCCTATCCCCAGAACAACAAATGTAATTTTAAGTTGAAACAGCAACTGATTTTGCAAAGGTAAGGCAAAGGATTTTGCTAAGGATGGCCCAATAAGACATTTTCATTTACAGTTTCCACAATTCTATAAAATGGACATATCTTAAAATTCCTCAATAGTTCCTTTCTTCAAGAGAATTAATATTCACAGATTATCTCTCTTAAGACCTCAGCCCTGTGCACACATTTCTTAGAAGGAAATTTGGTTGTCACAGACCTGTTCCACTCGGATATCAAATTCTCCATTCACCTTCTTCCCCTGGAAATACTTGGCCCTACAGAAGAAACAAGAGAGACAAACATGGTTAAATAAGAGTTTTGGCTTTCATTACATACTGCTTTGCTTCTGCATTTCCCTTTTTGATGAAGAATTTCTATTTGGGTCACAGCATGTTTCCCTAATTCCTATCTTCTTTCAGCTTTCTGTTCTCCAGAAGAAACCTGCCAAGCCAGATGAAAACCACATTGGAAAGTTCCTTCAAGGTTTGTTAGTTTTTCATTTTATTTTCAAACTGAAATCCAAATGCTCTCTTAATCTTTTCCAGAGAACAACTCTAATCAATGATTCCTTGCTATATTTCATTTAATACTCAGTCTTTATTCTGTTAAAGGAGACCAACACATGGCATGGCATCAGAAGCTTCTTCTGATGTTGAGCAAGGATCTTTGTCTTCAGTGTTGAAGTATTTGTGAAGCCTATTCTTGTGCTCTCTTGCTACAGAGCTGCTTTTCAGTTCTGTTTCTTTCTGCTACTGATTTAGAGAAATTGTAACTGCATCTGCAGTGTCACTAATGAGGGATTTCTTCTCCTGAACTGAGAAACTGTGTTTGCTCTGGAGTTGAACACTCTTGTGAGAAGGACACACTTCCCACCACTTCTGCTCCTAGCTCCCTATGCTATGCAGACAACAAAGCACTTTCAGAAGCATCAGTTGTTCATGAGAGCAGAAGGCTGACAGTAGTGTTGGAGAAGAAAACATAGGAAAAAACCAGGCAGGTTAGGCTTTTTGGATTCATATTTGTGTATAATGCCCCTTATATTGATTAGTCATGGGGGAAATTGCTAATATAATTTCCCCTATAAATATTTCTCCCCAATTCTTTCTCTCACCAAACAAGTTTGACAGAAGAAAATATGAATTTATTTTCTCAGACCTCCTCCCCTATAAACTTTAAGAAAGCCATGTAGGCTCCAAAAGGCTCTTCTACTTGGAAAACACTGAAAACAGTTTATCCCTGCAAGAGCTGCTTCCAGAGACAAAGTAACTCCTGGTTCTGTTTCCAGTTGGCAAAGACAGGATAGAATAAAGAAGTAAAGGAAAATGAGGAGAAGCCGGCTTTGCTCCCTATTTTATAGTATTAGCAAAAAAAAAAAAAAAAAAGCTGGCTCACATTTTTACTGTGTCTATTTGTTCCAATAAAAAAAGAAGAGACAGTAGGAAGGCAATTTTCCCCATGGCTGAAACACACATCATTTTCTAGCTGAATGCTTCCCTCCCCCAGAAATGTGAAATGCAAATAAAGAAGTTGTTTTGTTTTGTCATTCTGGCTCAAAACCAAACAAAAAGTTTTCATTTTAGTAGAAAAAGGCATAAAAATTGTCAAAAGTTTTCCGCTTCATTCTAAGGGGGATATCTGAAGGCTTCTCTTCTCAGACAGCCCATCCATCAGCATAATGTGCCAATAAGACTTCTGCATAAGTGTCAGTGAGGGACAATGTAGCAGCCAGGTGTGACCAAGACCAAGTGACTTGGACAACCCTGTCCAGTATAAAAAGGAGCTCTGGTCACTTTTCCTCTTTTTTCCTTTTTTTTTTTTTTTTTTTAATTTATGAGTGTTGCATGAAAAAAAGCAACTCAGCAGACAAGCTAAGACATCACGCCTCTAACAATAAACAGGAACTCTAAATGCACTTAATAATTCCATTAAATTTCTGGATGCATGACTCTAGAGGGTCTGGCAACATTCCTCACTCCTAAACATTGGGGATATTACTGTAACCAGTGACTCCTTAAAAACTGAAATAAGCTTTAAGAGGGCCCACAGGAACTGGTCTGAAATTTGAGGCACACTATTCACTGGTTTTTATTCCCAGCATGCTCATAATATATACTCCTTACCCACATTTATGAAACACACTTCCTCCCTCTATGGCCTCTCCTCTTTGCCGACCAGCTGGTTACAAACTCCTTAGTGCTTCTTTGCTTCAGCTTGTAATGAAGTGCGATTAACCACAGGCTTCAGCCTGGTACAGGTGGAGCAAAGAGGCTTCCACTGCCTGGTCCAGGAAATGAGCCTTCATGCAGCTAAAAAAAATCCTCTTTCTCATCTCCACAGTACTGGCTGTGCTCATGGATAGTCACATTGCGGGCACATCCAGTGTTAGGAGTCATTGGAGCAGAGCAAGGGACCTCAACTTAGACACTGTGTGACATCTCCATCTTATTCCTCTTTCCACACAGGCTGTCTCATCCAATGTCTGAGGTAACTTTCCTTTAACAGCACAATGTATCACTTTCATTCCAAGACCTTGTATCACTTTCCCCAGGAGGCTTAACCGGCTCCTAGTGTCTCTGGAGACTACAGGTGCTAAGTAATTTGCAGCCAAATATTTTGGTCTGCCCATAATTTTGACACAGCCCAGGGTACGAATAAAATGTTTTTTACTGGAACATCTCTGAAATGGATGGAGTGATCCTTTCAATTCACACCTGGGGTTTTGGAGCCCCTGGGAAGTAGAGGTGACCGTGTTGAAATGAAAAATGGCCTTAGCATCACCCTGGAGCCCCTGAAATTTTAAGCAAGCTGGAATCATTGCAGATGCTGTGGAAGCATCATATGTATCTTGTAAAACAGAGTTTGTCTTTCGTTTAGTTCTGCACAATTCATGAAATGGCTTCTGGTCCTTACAGTTGACATGAGATTGAGAAAAGGAAGACCACACTGCTCTGGTGGGGGTGCATGAGAAAGATAGGTGGAAGTTTCTGGTAGTCTTATGACAGTACAAGACTTTTGTAGATGCTGCCTCCAAACCACCTGAGCAAGTCTCTTCCAGACCTCTGCTTGGGACTTGACTGCTGCAGAGTTATTTAGGCTGCTTGTAGTGCAGCAAAGGAGTGGTGCCCAGAAGACGAGTTAAAAACCTTCCTGGAAAGACTCAGAAATGTTCCAACTCATCTCCAGCACAGCCAACAGCCAGTGATGAGGAGCAGCTCATTGCCCCAGGAGGGGGGCTGTCTGGCACCCCCCAGCTTGGGACACTGGGCAAGGTACTGGCCACACAAACCCATTGCCTCTCCCAGGTAGCTTTCAGCACTGACCATCACTTGGCTGGCCACCCCTTTATTTTAAAGAATGTCAAATGTTCAGCCTGCCAGAACACAGAGTTATAATTTGGCTAAGCAGAGTGCAGATGGGTTGGTGCGATTGCTGTGATGTTGGTAAATTAGCATGTAAACATGTTTTGACTGAAAAAAAGCTGCAGAGCCATGCTCAGGAGAAGTTCCTGGGTGGGATTTAGAGTGCTAGGCAATCCATCTAGATGTGGCCACACTGACTGGGAGGAAAGAAGCATCATAATAAACATAAAAGGTCTGACCTGGCTTGCAGGGAGAAAGCCTGTCTTGAACTCCTCTCTTTTTCTGATGAAGAAGCTGCATGCTCTGGAGAGGAACATATTTTCTGGGTGCAAAGCAATCAGACAAACAAAAGTTCTGCTTTCTGCCTCAGCTCTGGCATGATTACAGGGACATAAGAATCCCAATACCTCTTATACAATAATCTGGAAAGAATAGAAGCTTAATTTCCAGAGATATTCTTAAAACAAGCCCCAGGCTGCCTCAATGATCATGGCTGCAGGAAGTATATGCACAATCTTCTGTTAGATATGAAGTGTATTCCTAACAGCAGCAAGGAAAAAATAAATGTTCTATTCACCTCCAGTTACCTCCATAAGGCTAATTCACAGAAAGTCCATGTATAACATTCATGCCCTTAGGTGTTTAGAAAGCATCTATTTGAGCAAGGGATGCTAGCACTGAACCAAGACTGCAAACACATCTGTGAGACACTCGAATTATCCCTCTGGCATCACCAAGAGCTTGCACAGTACCCATGCAAGGGCTGCCTGAATCCGTGCGCTCCCCTGCACCTTTGTGCTAATGCTGGTGGACTGCAAACACAGAGAGACAGTGCTCATGGGGCACAAAGTCCCCTCTCCTCACATGTCACCGGGCCCAGGGGAGGTAGAGCCGGGCCAGTGGGCTGTGGGTATGGTAGCCAGGGCAAGCCTGCACTGCTGTGCTGCTCCTGTGTCATGGGGACTCACAGCACAAGACAAGCAACTTTCCTGCATGGAGTAGGGGCTTCCAGGGTCATCAACAAAAGACCCCATCTGACAAGCTACTTCTATTAGGAGAGTACAGATCCTCTTGTCTTTCTTCTCTGTATGATAATAACTGGTGTCATCAGCCCTGTCCTCTTTCTTCTTTAAAACCAAGGTAGGTGCAATGAGTACTCAACCTGTCAGCCAATATACATACTCAGCAAAGAAATCATGGAATCATAGAATGGTTTGCATTGGAAGGGACCTTAAAGATCATCCAGTTCCAACCCCACTGCCATGGGCAGGGACATCTTCCACTAGACCAGCTTGCTGGTCTGGAAGAAGCTATTTGTGAAGAGCTTGTGTTGTCTCTTCTGGAGACAACTTTCTTCTTTCTTTTCTCTGCTTTTCTCTCTTGGTGCAAAGGAATAAATCCAAGCTGCTTCAGAGGACTTCTTCGGTGTTTTCCTCTGGATTTCTGTGAAGGAGGCAACAGGGATACAGCAGGGGGCTGCACAACTTTTGTCAGGTTGGAAAATGATCTGCACAGGTGAGGAATAGGAAAAGATGCTCAGTTATCAAGCCCAAGGAGCTCTTCCTCAGGTACAGGTGACACTAGACTCCAGCCCCTGGAAGAAAAGGTGCAGAACAGTGGCCTGATCATGGAGAAGGCATTAGCCAGGACGGGCAAGGGATTTGAAATGATTGGAATGGTCTGGAGGAGTGCCATGATTCAAAGCTTAAAGCTGTTCCTGCAGGTCCATTATCTAGGTGAAGCAGAAGTTATGACACATTATGCAGCTTTGCAGACAGGCTAGTATTTCACATTTAATTCATGGGACTATCCTGCAAAATGGCTCCTGTATGGAGCAATTTTCTACGATAGGAAGAAATCAACGAAATTCAGCTCAGATTTTCCTGTGAGAGACCTCAGTGGAGCTGACTTAGCAA